ATGCTAGGGGTATTGTACGAGGTCTTCGGGTATGTATGTATAGCCTTGTCACTTTTCTAATAAATAGTGTAATGCAGAGAGATTCCACTTCATTAACTGCTTCCCAACCACCCTGTAGCAGTATTTCAGGTGAAAAAAATTATATATTACATACATACATGATTTTGCATTTCCGGCCTTTTTTTTATAGCACAAAAAAATAAAAAATGCACAGGTGATCAAAATACCACCACCAAAAGAAAGCTCAATTTGTGGGAAAAAAGGACATACATTTAATTTGGGTGCAGTGTTGCATGACCGCACAATTGTCAGTTAAAGTAACGCAGTGCCGTAACGCAAAAAATGGCCTGGTCAGGAAGAGGGGTAAATCCTCTGGAGGGTAAGTGGTTAAAAAAAGTTTCCCATTTGTAGAAATCTCTTGTCCTTGTGACTGCAGAGAGTTGAGTAAATTCTCTCCCAGAGGGGAGAAAGAAAGCACAGAAAATCAGGGGATTGAATCCTTCAGCAATCTAAAACAAAATGTTTAGGCTGGAGTACTTTAAGGACTTGTTTCTATAGCTTGATTTCAGGTGGATTCAGCTTGCATTTTGCATGTGTCTAGGACACTTCTGAAACGAGCATTCATTGAAAGGTGCGTTTGACCTGCAACCAACCTCTCAAGCTGAATCGACTTATTTAAGCTGATTTTTGTTTTCTTGTTCAATTAAATATGGAGAGAAAAAATTATGAAACAACCATAACCCTATCAACAGAGGTCAGAATGACTTATTTCTGCCTCAGGATTCCTTATCACATAGACTTGGTTTACACACATGATCTTTCCAGAACAGTGCCTGTGATGTAGCCTATCGGCTCTGCCATGGAAATCATGCCCAAGTCATGATACATGCCAAAGTCATGATACTCCAAGATTATGATCATAAATGGTTGCACTATTCCTTATACTATGCGAGTCCTCATCTGATACACAAGAATCTGCTTTGAGATCTGTCTTCTCTAAATTGACAGCTGTGACAGTTCCATCATGGAATATGTTTGCGCTGAGTCAAGTATTGACATCTTTCCAAGTATAGCATATACAGCCTAATTATACATGAAGACAGTGTTGCTTGCCAAGAATAATAACTTTGGTTTACAGTGCAGTAAAAAGTATGATAACCTGTAAGAAAAAAAATCAGTATGTGAAATAGGTGTGGGTCGGAGTCAAAGACCTAAAATGTGTACCCAGCAGGGGCGGACTGACCATTTGGAAACTCGCGCACTGCCCAAGGGCCCGGGGTCAGTAGGGGGCCCCATGAGATGCCCCTGGTACCTTTTTCATATGTTTTTTTGAGTTTGGGCAAGGACACAGGGGCCCCATGATCCCCTATTGCCCGGGGGCCCCATGAGTTGTCAGTCCGCCCCTGGTACCCAGTGAGACATAATCACACCAAACCTGTGCCAAATGTATGGAAACCTGTCCTCCAAGCATCAGTGCTGAGAGATGTACTGCTAGTTGTTATCTACAAGCCCAGCTTGTCCACTGTGCAACTCATTTGGTTTGCATGAAATGCCTGTTCATCTTCTACGTCTTGCTTACTTGATCTGGATCCACTATTGCTTTTCTGATTATTCTTGTGCTGAATGTTTTCCTGCGCCTAAGTCCTAATTATACTCATTGTCTACTGTCTACTACAATATTATCAGAATACTAACTGATGACCCAGCTCTGGACTTGACTATAGTGTTGCTTTAATTTTAAAGCAGAACTTCACACAAAGAGAAGATTCCGCTCTTCTTCCTTCTACCCCCCCCCCCTCCTCTGCCATATAAGGAATATTTTTGGGGGGGAGGGAGTGGGTAGCTATTTTTGACAGGTACTTGCTCCCACTTCCTCTTGGTTCCCCCCTTCCTGCACACAGTCTTCGGGGACACCTCACAGGTTCCAGAAGGCTGCGAGACCATTCACAAAATGTGTAGTGGGAAGCCAGTTGTGAAGCTGCCCATAGTTAACATGCTAATGCCGGGGGTCCTGAAGACTGGTGAAGAGCCAGTCAGGGTGAGGATGGCACTGGATCCTTGGACAGGTAAGTGTCTGTTTATTAATTTTTGCAGAACTGACAAACTCCTCTTTAAAGTAGTTCTAAAGGCTGAAGGTTTTTAACCTTCATGCATTGTATGTATGAAGGTAAAAAACTTTTAGTATGCAGCTCCCCTTAATACTTACCTGAGCCCGATTGTGATCCTATGATGTGCACAAGTTCAGCTGCTCTCCCGAGCCTAAATCTCCTCCATTGGCTCCATCTCCTCCTTTTTCATTGGCTCCCACTGCTATCAATCACAGCCAGCAAGGAGCGACCGCAGCGGGGCCGAGCTCCATTCTGTGTGTTTTTTTGGACACAAAAAGCAGGGTTCAGAAGCGAGCAAGCACAAGTTCCCCCATAGCAAACAGCTTACTGTCAGGGAACTCTGAGAAGAAGAGGAGCCAGGAGAACCGGCAGAGGACCTGAGAAAAGGAGGATCGGGGCTGCTCTGTGAAAACACATTACACAGAGCAGGTAAGTATGACATGTTTTCCATTTTTTTTTTTTAACTTTTAATTTCATTTTTACCTTTTACAGTGCCTTGAAAAGCTATTCATACCCCTTGAAATTTTCCAAATTTTATGTGACAGACCAACACAAAGTGGCACATAATTTTGAAGTGGAAGGAAAATGAATAGTTTTCACAATTTTGTAAAACTTTTTTACAAATAAATAATCTGAAAGGTGTGGCGTGCATTTGTATTCAGCCCCCTTTACTCTGATATCCCTAACTCACATGTGTGTAATTTAATCTCAGTATAAATACAGCTATTCTTTGAAGCCCTCAGAGGTTTGTTAGATTACATTGGTGAACAAACAGCATCTTTAAGGCCAAGGAACACACCAGACAGGTCAGGGATAAATTTGTGGAGACGTTTTAAGCAGGATTAGGTTATAAAAAATATCCCAAGATTTTAAAATCTCACAGAGGACTGTTTAATCCATCAATGAAAAGAGTATGGCACAACTGCAAACCTACCAAGACATAGCCATCCACCTAAACTGACAGGCCAGGCAAGGAGAGCATTAATCAGAGATACAGCCAACAGGTCCATGGTAACTCTGGATGAGCTGCAGAGATCCACAGCTCAGGTGGGAGAATATGTCCACAGGACAACTATTAGTGGTGCACTTCACAAATCTGGCCAAGAAAGCCATTGTTGAAAGAAATCCATAAGAAGTCACGTGCAGTTTGCGAGAAGCCATGTGGGAGACACAGCAAACGTGTGGAAGAAGGTGCTCTGGTCAGATGAGACCAAAATTAAACTTTTTGGCCTAAAAGCAAAACGCTATGTGTGGCAGGAAAGCTAATATTTCACATCACCCTGAACACACCATTCTCACCGTATAATATGGTGGTGGCAGCATCATGTTGTGGGGATGATTTTCTTCAGCAGGGACAGGGAAGCTAGTGAGAGTTGTTGGGAAGATGGATGGAGCCAAATACAGGGCAATCTTGGAAGAAAACCTGTTAGAGTCTGTAAAAGACTTGAGAATGGGGCGGAGGATCACCTTCCAGCAGGACAACGACCCGAAACATCCAGCCAGAGCTACAATGGAATGGTTTAGATCAAAGCATATTCATGTGTTAGAATGGCCCAGTAAAAGTCTAGACCTAAATCCAATTGAGAATCTGTGGCAAGACTTGAAAATTGCTGTTCAGACGCTCTCTCCATCCAATCTGACAGAACTTGAGCAATTTTGCAAAGAAGAATGGGGAAAAAATGTCACTCTCTAGATCAGGGGTGGACTGACAACTCATGGGGCCCCCGGGCAATAAGGGATCATGGGTGTCCCTGTGTCCTTGTCCAAACTCAAAAAAGCCTATGAAAAAGGTACCAGGGGCATCTCATGGGGCCCACTACTGACCCTGGGCCCTCGGGCAGTGCCCGGGTTTCCAAATGGTCAGTCCGCTCCTGCTCTAGATGTACAAAGCCGGTAGAGACATCCCCAAAAAGACTTTAGGGGGCTGAATACAAATCCCGCCACACTTTTCACATATTTATTTGAAAAAAAAATCAAAATCCATTTATCAGTTTCCTTCCACTTCACAATTAGGTGCCACTTTGTGTTGGTCTATCACATAACATCACAATAAAATACATTTACATTTTTGGTTGTAACATGACAAAATGTGGAGAATTTCAAGGGCTATGAATACTTTTTAAAGGCACTGTAATATCACTTTAAGGTAAAGTCTAGAACAGCTTTTCTTTTCAACACTGAAGAAGAGGTCTTTTCCTCCCCCAGCCTTTGACTATACAGTGAAAAAATAAACTGTAAGCCAGACTTTCTTAACCTTTTTAACATGGAGGAACCCTTGAGTTAACTTTCAGCTCCAAGGGAACTCCTGCTAATTCTTAATCTACAGCTTGTAGTACATTAGTGGTATGGTCACTGCAAAAGATGACCATACATTTGTACAACTGGCAAAAAGTATGGAATCACCACTTTTGGAAAATGTTAATTCAATTGTTTAATTGTGTAGAAAAGAGAAAAAAAAATAATCACACACATGCTTCAAAACTATTTTAATTTAACATTCCAACCTTCTGACTTTAACCGCTAGCCTACTGGGCACTTATACCCCCTCCCTGCCCAGGCCAATTTCCAGCTTTCAGCGCTGTTACACTTTGAATGACAATTGCGCAGTCATGCAACACTGTACACATATGAAATTTGTATCATTTTTTTTGACAGAGCTTTCTTTTGGTGGTATTTAATAACCTCTGGGTTTATTATTTTTTCTTAAACAAACCAAAACCACTGAAAATTTTGAGAAAAAAAAGTTTTTCTTAGTTTTTGTTATAAAATTTTGTAAGTAAGTGATTTTTCTCCTTCACTGATGTGCGCTAATGAGGCTGCAGTGATGGGCACTGATAGGCTGCACTGATGGACACTGATAGGTGGCACTGATGAGGAGGCACTGGTAGGTGGCACTGATGGGCACTGAAAGGCAGCATTCATATATGGCACTGCTAGGCGGCACTGATAGGTGGCACTGTTAGGCGGCACTGACTGGCACTATTAGGCGGCACTGACTGGCACTGTTAGGAGGCACTGATAGGCAGCACTGACGGGCACTGATAGGTGGCACTGATGCACACAGATAGGCGGCACTGACTGGCACTGATTGGCTGCACTGATAGGTGGCACTGATTGGCATTGATAGGTGACACTGACTGGCAGTGATGGGTGACACTGAAAGGCAGCTAAGATGAGCACTGATATGTGGCATTGATGTGCACTGGTAGGCACTGATATGGCACTGATGGGCACTGGCAGGTGGCATGGATGAGCACTGACAGCTGGCACTGATGGACACTGACAGATGGCACTGCTGGGGCTACACTGATGATCAGTGCACATGTCCCCTCTGAGGGATGCCGATTACCGGCTCTCCTCACGAGCTGTCAGCGTGACAGCTTGTGAGGAGAGAAATGCCAATAACCAGCATTTCCCTGTTTACATGTGATCAGCTGTGATTGGACACAGATGATCACATGACCGAGCCGACATCTTCGGCTCTTTCCATTGATCGGTGAGCGCACCATGGACCATCGGAGCCACGCATGCGTGGTTAGAATGGGAGGATGTCATACGACGTCCTCACAGAACGAGAGAACCGCCTTGCGCTCGTAATTGTACTATATGGCGGGCGGGAGGTGGTTAAGAAACACACAAAAAATAAAAGAAGAAAGAAAACTGTAGTCAGTTGCAACTGTTTTGCAGATCAAGCAGAGGGGGAAAAATGGAATCACTCAATTCTGATTATGGAATCATGAAAAAAAAAAACACACTATAGTACACCACTAGTACTTTGTTGTACCACCTCTGGCTTTTTCTCTGATTCATGGATTTAACTATCGACAAACAGTATTCTTCATCAATCTGTCTCCAACTTTCTCTTATTGCAGTTGCCAGATCAGCTTTGCGGGTTGGAGCCTTGTCATGGACAATTTTCTTTAATTTCCACCATAGATTTTTAATTGGATCAAGGTCCGGACTATTTTCAGGCCATACCATTGATATTATATGTCTTTCTTGAAAGAAAGTTTTCACGGCTTTTGCCCTATGGCACGATGCATTATCATCCTGAAAAATTATGTCATCATCACCAAACATCCTTTCAATTGATGGAATAAGAGACAGAGGGTACAGTCACAGATGGGGGGCATTGTCCTGCATGAATGCATTTTCTGCTGGAGTGCGAAACAGCACAGCAGTTGAACACCACCCCCTGGTCATATCCTCTCTGCTTTTTTACAGGTAAATGCTGCTATCTCATCTCCACCTTAAACTGTCTGTCTGACTTTCTGCAAAACTCAGGATAATTAGTCTATATTAGTCTGACTTTGGCAAATCCCCCCTCCCCCAATTCATGTGTTCCTTATCCATTCCTAATTGGGGTGGAGAGACTCCTCATTTGATCATCTCCCTATAAATGTAGACCAGTTTATGGGGGAAGTCACAGACAAGGGGTACAGTCACAGATGGGGCATTGTCCTACATGAGTGCATTTTCTGCTCAAGTGCAAAAACAGCAGTTTAAATAAAGCAGCAAGAAGATACAACAAAGAACTCTTTTGCACTCTGGATACTCTCATCAGCTCCTGCTAATACTTTACTCACCTGCTGACCAAAACACGAGGACAGGAAGGCTTGTGCATTCATATACATCCCACTCCCATCTTACTTTCCTCACCCTCCTTCTTCTCCTAACCTCTGGGGACATCTCCACGAACCCTGGTCCTACAGTATCTCACCCACACACCAGGCACCCTCCTTCCTCCAGGAGTAGCCGCAATCCACTCAATCCATTTAATCTCAATCCCCATGCTCCTAAAAACCACCCTCCCTTTTTCATGTGCACTCTGGAATGCCCGCTCTGTCTGTAATAAGCTCACCTATGTCCATGACCTGTTTGTCTCCCACTCCCTTAACCTACTAGAAGTACAGAAACCTGGCTCCAAGCATCAGATTCTGCTTCCCCCGCAGCACTTTCCCATGGAGGCCTCCACTGGACACACCCAGACCCAGTGGTTGGAAAGGTGGTGGAGTTGGTTTGCTTCTATCCCCACTGAGCACCTTTCAAGTCCCCCCTGTCTCTCCTTCTCTATCCTTCTTCTCTTCTTTCAAGATTCGCTGCATTTGGCTGTTTTCTCCCATTTCTCAGAGGATTGCAGTGATCTGTTGTCCTCCTGGACTGGTGTTGCACTTTCTTGATGACTTCTCTGCCTGGCTACCCTACTTTCTCTCCTCTGAAATACTCACTATCATTCCTGGTGATTTTAACATCCTCATTAATGTGAACAAACTAGCTACATTCCAACTCTTCAACCTACCCTCATCTTTTGCCTTAACACAATGGACACGTTTCTCCACCTCCACCCAGTAACTCACTCACTGCTTACAAGATTACCAATCATTTCAAAAACAAGATTGATGCAATTTGTAGGGGCATCTCCACTACACAAACATCTATCCCACTTAGTATACCTTATACTAAACCTCCCTCAACACTTTCCTCTTTTGACCTTGTAACTGAGAAGAGGTCACTAAAGTTTTCTCAGAAGCCCATCTCACCTCCTGCCCCCTGGATCTTGTTCCCTCACAACCACTGCGGTAACCCTCCTCTTCTATCCTTTTCTCCCTTACTCACATCTTCAATCTCTCCCTCTCTACTGGCATCTTCCCCTCCCCTCTAAAGCATGCACAGTTCACTCCCATACTTAAAAAGCTCTCACTGGACCCCACCAACCTGAACAACTAAAGATCCATCTCCCTCCTTCCGTTTACCTCTTAACTCTTAGAACACTTAGTCTAAAATTGCCTGATGTCAGGGTCCTGTCCACGGCAGAAGTTCTGCAAGATCTGCCAGTACTCTGCATGGCCGCAGAAGTACACATCAGCCTCAGTTTGATGCCAGACGGCCTTTATAAGGAGGCTCATCACTTCCTCAAGTTGATGGATGATCTCTAGCTCCCGTGCCCTGTTCCTGTTTCCTGTGATTCTAACCTATGATTTCCTGTTACCGACTCGGCTTTCTCCTGGACCTGTCTACTCTGCTTTACCCCTGATCTGACCTCGGCTTGGCTTACAGATACACTCTCTCTCTTGCTCCTCTGTGTATGACCTCGGCTATCCCATCTGACTACATCTGCTCTGATTCCCACCTGGTACCTGACCTTGGCTTGAACCGACTACCCAGTAAACATCTAAATCTCGGAAGGGCTTACATGCCACGCACAGGCGCCTTCTGTCTGCAAACCTATCACAGTGCACCAGCTGTGCTTCTGAGTGACCACCAACCAGCACTCCTACAGGCGACCTGTGCAACTTTGGGCCAGACTCCCGCTGTCCCACTCTCAGGGGCGTCCGGAACTTAGCTGCAAGGGAATCCCTCTCTCCTTTGGCCTCCATCACCAGGTACATCATTCCTGAGCTCCTACCTCACTGACAACAATCTTCTTGACCCTTTACAGTCTGGCTTTCCCTCACTACACTCCACTGAAACTGCCCTACTATAACTCACTAATGATTTACTAACTGCTAAAACCAATGACCACTACTCCATACTCTTACTACTTGACCTCGCTGTGGCTTTTGATAATGTTGACCATCCCCTCCTCCTCAAAAACACTATACTCATTTGGCCTCAGAGACTTTGCTTTCCTGGTTCTCCTCCTGCCTATCACAGTGCTCATTCAGTGTTACCTATTACTCTGTCTCCTGCTCTCCACTTCCTCCTTCTGTAGGGGTAACTCAAGGTTCTGTCCTTGGACCACTTCTCTTCTCCATCTACACCTCCTCTCTTGGTCACTTGATAAACTGCTATGGCTTCAAGTACCATCTATATGCTGATGACACACAAATCTTTCTTTCTACTCCTCACCTCACCCCTTCAGTCTCTTTGCGCATTAATAACCTATTAAATGACATATCGGCATGGATGTCACTCCACTTCCTCAAACTCAGTCTTTCTAAAATGGAGCTCATAATATTCCCTCCAGCCCGTGCCCCTTCCCCTGACTTCTCCATCAAGATCAATAATACAAACATCGGTCCCTCCCCTCATGCCAGGGTACTAGGTGTAATCCTAGACTCCCGTCTGTCCTTTCAGCCCCAAATCCAATCACTGTCCAAACCTTGTAGACTTCACCTCCGCAACATCTCCAAGATATGCCTGTTTTTAACCACTGAAACCACTAAGAAACGTATTCACTCCCTTGTTATCTCTCGCCTTGACTATTGTAACTCCCTCCTCATTGGCCTACCTAATCGCAGGCTATTCTCGCTTCAGTCTATCATGAATGCTGGTGCAAGACTCATCCACCTTACCAGCTGTTCCATATCTGCCATCCGTCTCTGCCAATCCCTCCACTGGCTTTCTGTTGCCCAACGAATACAATTCAAAACATTAACAATAACTTTATAAAGCCATTTATAACTCTGCCCCAAATTACATCACCAATCTTGTCTCCCAATATCATCAAAATCATCCTCTCTGCTCCTTCCACAACCTCCTGCTCTCTAGCTCCCTTGTCTCCTCCTCCCATGCTCATCTCCAGGACTTCTCCAGAGCCTCCCCATCCTCTGGAACTCTCTACCCCAATCTATCTGACTATCACCTACTCTGCCCACTTTTTTAGGCAGAGTAGGTGATAGGTTTTCAGAGCCTATCTCTTCAGGGAAGCCTATCCTGCCTTCAGCTTATAACCGATACTTCTATTTCTCCTATCAGTTCATCCCCCACAGTTATTACCTTTTGTACCACCAGCCCCTTACTCTTAAAATGTAAGCTCCAAGGAGCAGGGCCCTCCTAACCCTCCTGTATCGTTGCTGTATTGTCTTCCTTTATATTGTAATGCGCTGAGTAAACTGTTGGTGCTATATAAATCCTATACTATAATAATAGGAAGAAAAGTGTCCAAAATTGCAATATAAACTTGTGTATTTATTGAAGATTTAATGACTGTCATCTCCCCTGTACTTTTACCTGATATGTAGCCCCATATCATCAATGATTGTGGAAATGTGCATGTATTCTTCAGGCAGTTGTCTTTAGACTTTTAATTGGAATGGCACCAAACCAAAGTTCCAACATCATCACCCTGCCTAATGCAGATTTGTGATTCATCACTCAATATCACTTTCACCCATTCATCCACAGTCCATTATTGCTTTTCTTTAGCCCCATGTAACCTTGTTTTTTTCTGTTTGGGTGTTAATGATGGTTTTAGTTTGGCTTTTCTTTATGTATATCCCATTTCCTTTAGGCAATGTCTTACAGTTCGGTCACAGACTTTGACTCCAGTTTCTGCCCATTTGTTCCTCATTTGTTTTGTTGTGCATTTTCTGTTTTCAAGGCATATTGCTTCTATCTTGACACTTTGATTTCTTCTTTGGTCAACCAGTATGCTTCCCTTTTACAACCTTCCCATTTAATTTGTACTTGGACCAGATTTTAGACACAGCTGACTGGGAACAACCAACCTCTTTTGCAAAGATTTTTTTTTCTGTGATGATTTAGCAACTTACATCTCTCAAGTTGGAGCCATGATTCATGTCAATCA